ATGTACCTATGAAACCATCACCACACTCAAAATAATGAAGAAAATCTGTCACACACAAAGCTGTTTCTTTCCAACCATTGGATGCTTTCCTTGTTACTCACCCCTGTTCCCAGGCAATCAGCTAAACAGCTTTCTTTTTTGTTTTAATTTGCTTTTTTAAGATTTATTTATTTATGCATACAAGAACTGGGGTACAGGCCAGAAGTGTGTGGCGGGGGTGAGAGTATTCACCAGGGAGCAGAACAGGCAGACTGCATGAAATACACTGCAGAGGGGAGCAGCGGGTGAGACAGGAGAGGTCTGTGCATCATGTGGGTAGCTCCCCGGTTGGCTGGGGATCCAACTCCTGCTGCAGTGGCTGCAGATAGCTTCATAGTGCTGTGCTTAACCCCTTGTGCCCTGAGGGGAGTAGCGGGCGAGGCAGGAAAGGTCTGCCACACCATGGGGGTATCTCTCTGGCTGGTAGGGAATTGAACCAGCACTGTAGAGGCTGTGGACAGCTTCGCAGCACTTTGCTCAACCTGCTGCACTGCCAGGGAGGCCCAGTAGTTCATTATTTTTTATTGCAAGTAGTACTGAATGGTTATACTACATTTTGTGTATCTACATGTTGAGGGACAGTTGAGGTGTTTGTAGGTTTGAACTACAAATAAAGTTTCTAATAAAGTCTTTGGTTTTTTGGTTGTTTTTTTTTTTTAAAGATTATTTATTTATACAAGCACTGGGTACAGTCAAAAGTGTGGGAGGGTGAGAGAATTCAACAGAGCAGGAAATAGAACAGGCAGACTGACGAAATACACTGCTGAGGGGAGCAGTGGGCACAGCAGGAGAGGTCTGTCACGCCATGTGGGACCCTAGGCAGCGGCCGGGAAATGAACCGGCGCTGCCCGGCGCTGCAGAGGCTGCAGGCAGCTCTGCAGTCCAGCGCTCAATTGCTGCGCCACCAGGGGAGGCCCTAAAGTCTTTTGTTTTTTTAAGATGTATTTATGCATACAAGAACTAGGGTATAGGCCAGAGGTGCAGGAGATGAGAGGATTCACTGAAGACAGAGTGGGGAAAAGAACAGGCAGATAGACTGAAGTACACTGCTGAGGGGAGCAGCGGGCAAGACAGGAGATGTCTGCTAAGCCATGTAGGTTGCTCCCTAGCCAGCCGGGGCCAGGGATCAAACTCGCACTGCAGAGTCTGTGAAAAGCTTTACAGCGCTGGGCTTAACCCTCTGCGCCACCACAGAGGCCCTAATAAAGTCGTTTGTTTAACATACATTTTAATTTCTTTTAGGCAAATACCTCGGGATGGAATGACTGGATTATTTGGTACTTGTGTGTTTACTTTCTTAGGGAAAGTGCCAAATTGGATTCTGAAGTGGTTGTACTGTTTCTTTCACATTCTCACCAGTAGCACATGAGACTTCCACTTCCTTCACATCCTAGCATTTTCCTTTTTTTTTTTGCATCTTCTTGATGATATTTAGTATATTTTCATGTGTTTAATTTGCCACATGAAGAATGTGTTGAGATCATTTTGCCCTTTTTTTTAAAATTGAATTTTCTTATTGAGATTTATTTTATGCATGCATACCATTGGTTTATAAACTATGTGTTTCAGTAGTATAACTTAATACCTTGTTAGGTGTTCATACCACACTGTACCCTCCACCAAAGTTCTGTATAATAATCATTCACCATCCACAAATTGTAACTCCCTCTATCCATTCCTCCACCCTCCTTCCCCCTCTCCTCTGGTAACCACTATTTTTTTTTGTCAGTGTTGAAGTTATTTTTGTGAGGTTTCATTGTTCATTTGCTTTGTTTCTTTATCTTCCAAATATGAGTGAAACTGTTTGGTCATTGCTTTTCTCTTTCTGACTGACTTCACTTAGCAAAGTCATCTTCAAGTGCCATCGATGTTGCAAATTATTACTACTGAATTTTGAGAGGTGTTTCTAAATTCTGGATATGAGCTCATTTTCTTTCAGGATGTGGCTTGTCTTTCATTATGTTAACAGTTTTCTTGCAAAGAAAAATTAGTAATCTTGATGAAGATTTATTACTCCCGTTTCTTAATGGATCATGTCTTTAATGTTTCCAGGTAATCTTTGTTTATGTCAAGGCCACAGAAATTTTTCCCTTTGTTAACTCATGAAACTTTTATGGTTTTACTTTCCACCTTTAGGTCTATGCTCCATTTTGAGTTAATTTTTGTGTACGGTAATGGGTATTCAGTCACTCTAGTTCCATTTGTTGAGTTGCCTCTGTACCTTTGTGAAAGACCAGTAGACTGTATATAGAGTTCTATTTCTGAACTTTTAATTTTTTTCATTGATCTGTTTGTCTTCATGCCACTACCAGTCTTGATAATTATAGTTTTTTAAAAAAAAATAATTTATGTATGCATATAAGAACTGGGGTATAGGCCAGAGATTTGGGGGGGGGGTGTTGAGAGGATTCACCAGGGACAGAGTGGGGAACAGAACAGGCAGATTGACTGAAATACACTGCTAGGGGAGCTGCGGGCGAGCCAGGAGAGGTCTGCTGCACCATGTGGGTAGCCCCTGGCCGGGGATTGAACTCATGCTGCAGTGGCTGCAGACAGCTTCATAGGTTGCGTCTTAACCCCTTGCACCACCAGGGGGGCCTGATATTTGTAGTTTTATAACAAATCTTTAAGTCAGGTAATACGTAGCTTCCAGTATTGCTGTTCTTTGAAGTTGTTTTGGCTGTTCTAACTCCTTAGTATTTCCATATAATTTTAGAATCAGTTTATTAATTTCTGCAAAAAGATGCTGGGATTTTGGTTGAATCTTGAATCTTCTGTTGGTCAGAAGTCACATGTTAACATCCTTAAGTCCACCAATTTATGCACATAGTATATATCTCCTTTTATTTGTCTTCTTTGCATATAATTTGATAATTTATCTTATGTCATAGTTTCTGATATTATAGATGAAGTTAGTTTTTTAAATTTTAGTTTCTGGTTCTTTGAATAGTTGTTATATAGAAACAATTGATTTTTGAGTATTGATCTTGTGTTTTATAAGTGTTCCAGATTCACAAGTTTTAGTCATTTTTGTCTTAATTTCATTTTCAGATTAAGCATAATATTCAAGTTCACTATTAGTTTAGATTTTAAGAAAAATGTAAGCTTACAGAACTTAACACTTTATCAATACCTTGCATGGAATGATGTGAGACATCCCCAATATCTGTCTTCATTTTTCTTTTAATGAAATACTAATATGCATTATAATATGGAACCTTGAAATTTCAAGCTATTATTTATTTATTTATTTTAAAGATTTTATTTATGCATACAAGAACTGGGATACAGGCCAGAGGTGCGGGGGGAGGGGGTAAGAGGATTCACCAGAGACAGAGTGGGGAGCAGAACAGGCAGACTGACTGAAATATGCTGCTGAGGGGAGCAGCAGGTGAGACTGGAGAGGTCTGCTGAGCCGTGTGGGTAGCTCCCTGGCTGGCCGGGGATCGAATTCATGCTGCAGAGGCTGCGGATAGCTTCATAGTGCTGTGCTTAACCCCTTGCGCCACCACGGAGGCCCCTCAAGTTATTATTTAAATAGTTGAATTTATAGGGAATTTCAGAAAAGTAATTTGTTCTGAGGGAGAAATTGTTGTTTCTGTGCCTGTGATTCCAAGAGTTTGTTCAAGTTACATATTTTAGAGAATCAGCTGCCTTGGAGGATCAAGAAAATATGGTAAGGACTTGGCATTTGGACTTGAGAACTTAACTACAGAGATCAAAGTGCAGTTTACTGAGATGAGGAAAACCAAGGACGCAATGGCTTTGGAATTACCAGTTCATGTTGAACAGGTTAGATTTTGGGCCCATTTTTTGTTGACTGTGTTAAGTGCTTGTGTGTTTATTTATGCATATAAGAAGGAGGTTTGTAAGTGAAGAGATAAATGTTAAATTGCCTTTGTTTTGGAGAGGTTAAAAATAGGTCTGAGGTCACAGGGCCCCCTACCTCCAAAGCCAATGTTGTTATCCCTTTGCTTTATTTTATCCTCAAGGCAGAAAAACATGCTTGGCTTTGACATTAGTACATGTGCCCTGTGAACTATTGTAAATACATAGCAGAATTAGCAAGCTTAGATGCCAACATGGTCCAGAGAGGTAACTGAACTGGTATTTTGCAAGATTTATTTACTTATACAAGCACTGTGGTACAGGCCAGAGGTGTGGGATGGTGAGAGAATCCACCAGAGACAGAGCAGGGAGCAGAGCAGGCAGAAGGACTGAAATACACTGCTGGGCGAGACAAGAGAGGTCTGCTGCGCCATGAGGGAATCTTTCCAGTCGGGTGGGACTTGAACTGGCGCTGCGGAGGCTGCGGGCAGCTTCACAGCGCTGTGCTCAACCCGCTGTGCCACCGGGGAGGCCCTGAACTGAGTTATAATAAAAGACAGTGATAACATATGTAGAGAGCTGCTAAGGCCCATGCTCCATCTGAAGGATTACTCTCTGCTCAGTTCCAATGGAATGTTACCACATGGAATGTGGACCCAATATTACCAGAGGATCTGATTTTTTTTTTCCCCTCAAGAGGGATTATAAATCTTGAATTTGTTGCATCTTTTGGTTAATGTAGGTTGCTTCCCTTTAACAAACTTTGTAAGCCATACTTGTGTAGGTCTACCATGTGTGTGTGTGTGTGTGTGTGTGTGTGTGTGTGTGTGTGTGTGAGAGAGAGAGAGAGAAAGAGAGAGAGTGATTGATTCTGTCCAATGGGCAGCCTTGTGTGAGAGTTGCACCTGGCATACTTACAGATACTACAGTAAATTTATATGATAGGAAAGGGCGGTGACTGTAATAAACACTTTATAACTTTTGAAATGCAGGTTGCTTAGTTTGAACTTGGTGCTTAGTGAATCTGGTATTTAATTTGAGTTTTCATATGAACCAGTTAATGATGGGGAGAGAGGAAGATGAAATTGTTCTGTGCAGTTTTTTGCTCCCTAATTGAGTGCTCTCAATTGCAGATAGTGGCAGTTGTGGATTTTTGAGTGAAACCTTGAACTCAAATGAGAAGAAACCTTCAGGGAATAACTTGGGCTGACGGTGAGTCTACAAATCATTTTCTGTGTGTATACTGTGAAACGTTCTCAACTCAGAGATAGTTGAATTGGGTGACTCTGTTGACAAGGAGTGGTGAGTCTTGTCTCCACTAATACTTAACCTAAATCTAAATCCTTCCCATAAAAAAAGAACTCCTATGTTCTTGACTTTTACTGACTGTTGAATGATAAATTACAGGGAATGACAGCAGACCAGTTTAAGAGAACCCTTTATGCCTAACAGCATATTTAATGTATGATTACAGTTTGATCTTTTTTTTCTGCTAGGTACATCCCTTCTTTGCCTTTCATTCCTTTTTCTCTTACATTCCCAATCCTATTTTTTTAAGACTTATTTTTATTTATTATTGATTTATTTATGCATACAAGAACTAGGGTTTAGGCCAGGGGCACAGGGAGTGAGAGGATTCACCAGAGACAGTGGGGAGCAGAACAGACAGATCCACTGAAATATACTGCTGAGGGGAACAGCTGGCGAGCCAGGAGAGGTCTACTGAACCATGTGGGTTAGCTCCTGGATGTGGATCGAACTGGGGCCCTTGTGGTAATACTGAGCCTAAACTCCTGGGCCACGAGGAAGTCCCTCCCTAGAGCTTGTTTTATGTGGAGTCTGGGACTGCTGCAGCCTTGTTGGTACTAGCCTGAGGTGATAAAGGAAAGCAGAGGCAAGCGAAGTGCAGAGAGGTAGATTTGCAGGCCCATTTCCCAGCCCACTCTACCTGTGGCTTCCTTGTTACAAGTGATGATATATTTCCTTGTTATTGCCTAAGCAATTTACCTCTAGATTGTTGCTGCAGAAATCATCCTGATTCAGTTTGAATCCTTCATTTTGTAATTATCCACTTCTATTACAGTCTCATGCTATCTTATTAAAATCATCAGTGCATAATTACTGAATTGAATTATTTGAACAGTAGAATATTTGAACAGCCAATTCACAGAATCAAATAATTTTATTTGAATTCACATCCTTTTCTTTAACCACACTTAACTTCCTCTAGGATTATGAATGAAATCTGGGTTTGGATGTAAGATCACTGGTTCATAACACATTTTCAAGTGGTTAGTTCTACTCTAATGTTGCTCGGCTTATGGCTTTTTTTTTGTTTGTTTAACTGACTTTCAATCTAATAAATTTCACTTTCATTATTACGAAAATAGAGTAGTTTACCTTCTGTTTTCTATACTAGTTACAGGAATACAGGACATGGATAGTGACAAACATAACTCGGGAATAATTGTATTTGGTTTTGGGGTGTGCCTTCATAAAAAGATTCTCTAAAATGTGTTCTTAGAACCTAGTTGTGTGTTGGGTTGTGTCTAGTGGGCGGTATCTTGAGTCATAGGATGATTCTGTTTTACAGCTCTGAGACAAAATCATTTTTCCCCATAACTCAAGATATTCATCCATATACTTTCTGCTGCTATAAACTTGAAAAATTCTGTAAGATCCTGTTTTCTTCCTGAAAGTTATGGCATAGCTTTCAGTTAAGAAGGAAAATCACAAATTTTTATTGTAATCTTTTAATACTTTATGAATTCTTCAAAAAAAGATTTTATTTCAGGGAACAATTGACTTCTAATTTTTTTCCTGGATGGTTCGATTAAGTTCTGGGGAAGTAACTTTTTAAGAAGGTAGGGAAAGTTGTATGATGTACTTGACTTGTCACTTGAAATTCAGTAATACCATTATTTAGTATTATAAGAAGTTTAAATCCTTAATGTGCTTTATTTCATAATATATTATGAAGAGTTTGTAGGAATGGAACATGTGTCTTGTTCTAAAGCAGACATGGCAGGTGTGTGATCTAAGCCAGATCAGAGTGATGTTAGGGTCTTCACTAGGAATTTGGGGATAAAGGCATTTATTTTCTTCTGAATTTCAACCTGAAAACATCATCAGTAAACTGTTGGCACCTGTCTTCTGACCATAAAAGGGAAAGCCAGTTTAAGACGCTAATACTAAAGGAGTAGAGCTGAGCAAAACCACATCCTGGCCACCTCAATTCAACAGCTGGATCAAGTCTTCCTTGAAGATAGTATACCTCTAGAGTTGCTGTTACATGAGCCAGTGCATGTCTGTTTTAATCCAGTTGGTTTGGGATTTTATGTTACACATATATGAAAACATCCTAACTGATCCATCCTTGTCATCAATGTGAATTAGGCTACTAGGTCTCTGATACGGGTATTAGGTGGCAGATAATGAAGTTCATTCTTTGGCTTATTCAAGAATTAAAGTATTAGGTATGAGTTAAAAGTGATAAACTCTGTCATTCCTATTGGAGTTTTCTGAGGCAGGCATTTATGTGAATAATCCTATTGATGAACAGGTTGTTACTGATATTAGGATTCTAGAAGAAAAGGAGTACCCATCTGTAATTAGTGGCTCTTTTGTGGAGACTACTACTGAGCCCTTGACCCCTCTAGAACTGCAAAGCAAACATTGGAAGGAATCTGACTGACTTAAAAAAAAAAAAAAAGTGTCAGTTATTATTACTGATCCTTTTTTTTCTAAGAATGTATAGGACCATAATCCCTTATTCAAAATCTTGGTGCCATGTATGTTTTGGTATTTCAGAATTCTTTGGGTTTTAGAAAGGTTGATGTGGTACTCATGTATTTAATGTAATGTTTATTTAAGGAAGGGACAAATGCTTTTCTGTTACTAATATTTCAGATAATAGTGGTTTGCATTAGTTAAACCACTAGACATAGGCCTCTGTACTTCACAACTTATCTTAACTGTACAATAAATTACATTCATTTTTACACTTGAGAAATTTCACAGCCGTTAGGTGACTGACTATATCAAGGTTGACACAACTGGGAAATACCAAGTTAAGATTCTAACCCATTATTTCTTTGACCTTGAGATCTCTTCCATTAATCAGTGCCCTACTGCCTCTTCAGTATGTTACACTGCTTAAATTCATGTTTGTTGTTAACATTAAGAAGATTACTACTCTTTGTTAAATTAACTCATTTTACTATAATAACTATTTCTAACAGGTTTACGATGGATTCTTTTAGCTTTTCTGCGAATGTGGTCCTTATTTGCAACTTAATATGTTTGCTTTACCTTTCTAGATTTCTTATCTCCTATTGTTTCATTTACTAGGTGGCATTGGTTAGGACTTGTAGAACATTGTATTTACAATGAACATCTTGTCTTGTTCATTAATTTAAGGCATCTTATGTTTCACTAAGTGCTTACATTGATTAGGATGTTTATAATGTTTCACTACTGAGCAAAAGCCAGGCTTTTAGCATTCTTTATAAGCAAAATGTAAGAGAAATTTTACTTGTCTTCAAGAATTTTAAAGAACACTATTTCACCATTTATATAGGCTGGATTTTTTTTTTTTTTTTTTTTTTTTTAGAGGCATGCTTTATTTATTTGTTTGCTGGTTTGTTTGTTTGTTTTTTGTTTATACATGCACTGGGTACAGTCAGAAGTGCGGGAGGGCGAGAGAATTCACCAGAGCCAGAGCGGGGAGCAGAGCAGGCAGAAGGACCGAAGTACACTGCTGAGGGGAGCAGCGGGCGGCAGGAGAGGTCTGCGCGCCATGTGGGACCTCCTCTGGTGGCCGGGGAGCAGCCGGGGATCGAACCGGCGCCACAGAGGCCGCGCGCAGCTTCGCAACCCAGCGCTCAACCGCTTATATAGGCTGGATTTTAAAGTGTTAATTATGTCACTTCATAATTACTACAAAGTAAAAATTGTTCCACTTTTTTTTTTAACCTCTTGCATTTTATTGTCTGGTAGTCTATAAACTTCTTTAGCAACTTCATTTTTATGCATTTAAAAATGTTTACTTGAAAATTTCCTGACTTTTGTTTATAAGTGTATTATTTGTAGAATATTTTTGTAGGCCTAGCATGTAGGCCTACAGTGAATATATGTTGAGTAAGTTAATTTTTATAATTATGTAATTATTGAGGCATCTTGATAGCCTGTTTTTGGGCAAGTGATAGGGAAAAGATATCAATTTTAGAAATAGAAAAAAGCTCTAGAATACATATTTAGTATTAACAGCTCTTGTTTCCTGGTCGTGGTGTTAACTTCTGATTGAATCATTTCTCATTTTGACTCCATAGCATCTTCCTGTGGACACCAACCTACTAGGAGCTGCCTAGTAGGCTTAGTTATTTAACTAAAACACACACAAATAGACAGTCAATAGGAATAATTCATCCAAATGTGAGAGAGGAGGAGGATATGTATACATAATAGAAAATTACTAAAATGCAAAAGTAGAATGGGACTTTCATTCAAACATTGTCCATGAATTTTCTATTAATAAAGAACTTGTGATTTTTTCGGGGAATAGAATATTAGTGGTTCAGTGTTGTCATTATGATTGAAAATATCTGTCTTCATCTATAGCGAGATTTTTTTTTAAAGATTTATTTATGCATACAAGAGCTGGGGTACAGGCCAGAGATGCGGGGGGTGAGAGGATTCACCAGAGACAAAGTGGGGAACAGAACAGGCAGATTGACCAAAGTACACTGCTGAGGGGAGCAGTGGGTGAGTCAGGATAGGTCTGCTGTGCCATGTGAGTTGCTCCCTGGTGGGCCGGGGATCGAACTCATGCTGCAGAGGCTGCGGATTGTTTCATAGTGAGGTGCTTAACCCCTTGCACCACCAGGGAGGCCTTAGAAGATATTTTTGAAATCTGATAATAGTTTTATAGTTTTTAGGGAGCTAACACTGATGTTAAATTTCCAGTTTTTTTTGGTTAATGGTTCAGGGTAACAGTCTGGAAATACCTAAGTAGAATTGGTGGTCCACTTGGCAGCTAGCTATAGTATGATAATTGTTACCACAACAGCTCTTGCTGTATGTATGTAGAGGCCATGATTTCTGTGAAGAAATCAGAAAAGCAGCCCTTTTTTGGCTTTGATTAAGGAGGTTTTCTGGGCAGCATAAGAAAATGCACTGCTTGTTTTATGCGATATTGATGGAAACATTTTCTT